TCCATCCATTGAGATAAGTGTTCAAGATATATTCTTACGGATTGTTAATAGTTTTTTAACTTCGAAGGGCTGACAATTTTCCATTGTTATCTTTCTATATCGTTATATGGAATCAAGTTTGGTTGCAAGGAATACGACGAGAGGTGATAGTCTTGGTATGGTGAAAAATGGTACCAAATGTGGTAACGATAAGGTTCGTTATCACTGCCATTATTACTATGTGCATCTTTTTATTTATTTGTTATAGCTATTTCTTTCTCCTGACTTTTATCATTTTTATCACTATATATCCAAATAAAGAAATAGAAAACGCACGCGCGTGCTGTGTGCAGTTATAAAACACACCGGGGTTAGCAGAACGCAAGCGGGAGACGTGTTAAGAGAAGAACGACGCGTAGTGAATTGTTTCTAACACTTCTCGAGTGTTCTGCAAATCCTAAAATKATCTATAACTACAAACAGCACAGCAAGCAATTTTTTAAGGATTTCTTTKATGAAATACAAATTACAATAACCGTTATTTTGGATAGTATTGAATCAACTGAAAGTGCGCGCGCKTGCTGTGTGCTCTCATAAAGCGCGTATGCACTCCTAACCAATCAGCACGCGAGAACTATAACATCGATTTTATAATACGAAGGTATTAATTTTGTTGTGCTCAAAGTTTTAACTTCTTTTAACCTACAGATATGCGTGAATTACAAATGTCGCCGCATCTCGTCTCTGGCTACACGACCCTGTCCTCAAACCAATGGAATGGACTGTGCTGGAAATGGAGTAAGGTTTACATACAGCACGTACACTGCCTCAAGCGTGCCGTGCAGTGACCGTGATGTTTTCTAGAATTTCAATTATCTGATTTTTTTCTCGCGTAATGCATGTGCTTGGTCTAGCAGTGTCGTGACTGTGACGTGACCATGTCCGCACCGTGTTTRTGCCGTGTTCCGGGTATTTGATTGGATGGAGAGTAAATTCTCGWGCAATRTGATTGGTCTGGAGTATRCCTTGCCGTGTCACGACCGTGTTCGTGCCGTGAGCTTTTCACAGTCGTGCGAAAACTGCTCTAAAACAATGCTCTAATGTTATCATTATTACAAGGATCGATATAAACATAGGAATTTTCTCGCTTCAGAAGAAGGCAGTTTCATGTTTTGACAATAAAAATCAACATGTGAGTTGAGCGTTGAGTTCGTAGAATATTGAATGTAGTGGTAGTGTGTGTGAGTGAAAGGTGTCCCCAATTAGAGAGAAAGCGCTAGAACCACTAGACACTTAAATAAAGATATTTATATATATATATATTTGTTTGAGTTTGTAAATTTATATTTCTATGTTACTAAATTGATTATATTCAAATATCTTCTGCAGGATGTATCTACAGATTAGTAAAAATACTAAATACTTTTTCTTTGTTTGTAGTTTTGTACGGCACATGGTAAATGTCATTGTAAAGATGGTTATGACCCGCTAACAAATTGTTCTACAGGTATGACTACTTTTCGCGTATTAGTTACAAATGTAACAGCAACAACCCGATGTTATTGGATGAATTTCGATGTAGTACGCCATGTCGTACACGTTTCCCACTCATACGAGAACCATTCTTACAATTACCATTCTTATAGGAAGCCATTTCAATGTTTCCATATGTCGTACGATAACCATCTTTATGGGAAGCCATTTCATTGTTAAGCCATGTCTTTATGGGAAGCCCTTTTAGTGTGTTATGGCATGTCTTATGATAACCATTCTTATGGGAAGCCATTTTAGTGTTATGGCATGTCGTACGATAACCCTTCTTATGGGAAGCCATTTCAATGCTACAGCATGTCTTACGATAACCATCTTTATGGGAAGCCATTTCAGTGTTATGGAATGTCGTACGATAACCATTCTTATATGCGAAGTCATTTCAGTGTTATGGCATGTCTTACGATAACCATACTTATGGGAAGCCATTTCAACGTTAAGGCATGTCGCACCATGTACGTGCTGTAAGTCGGTGTCCTACGTTACCCATTCACATTAATTTCTTCATATTAAATACCGTTTAAACTTCTATATCTGTACTTACTTGTTTTAGTGACATCTATTGTTAATGGAGGATGGAATTCATGGTCCACGTGGAGTAAGTGTAGTCGTGTTTGTGGCGGCGGGACYCAGAGAAGACACAGGTTTTGTAGCCATCCTGTACCAAGCGTGACTGGAAGGAAATGTCCTGGTGAAAGAATTCAAA